CAAATAAATACCAAAACATACCTGCCAGTTTCCCCTGGTTCTCTTTTGACTTTACCAGAATAATCGGCAAAAGCATCTGTATTCCGAGGCACGACGCCGGCGATGAAATCTCCCAATTGGGGCCCACTGTCTAGCTCATCTCGAAATGATTTGATTTTCAGTTCCGGCGCTTGATCACTGTCACTACTTGAAGTGGAGAGGCGAACGATGGCAGTGTAGGCTGTTGATGTTGGCCAATGCTGACCTGTCCAATGTCGAAGTAAGGCTTGACTTGACTTTGCAGTGACCTGCATATTGCAACCTTCCCGAAATGCTGACCACACAAACTTAAAACGACTAGGACAGCTCAATGATGAATATTTTACTCAAAAATGTTGCATTTCCCAACTGTAACCTTCAGCTGAGTTGATAACACCAGCACCACATGAGACCATAAATCTGCCGATGCAAAAAAGAAGATTTTGCTGAACAAAAATAAACAACCGCGAGCCCATTCGTATACAAAGTGATGGGAAGATTTTCAAACGCTAATCATCAACGATTTTCATTTCAAGTTCTTTTTATTATTGACTACAATGATTGTATCACTCGCTGATTATATCAGTGAAGGCGAAAGTAATTATCGTGCGTAAAAACAATGGACATGACGATGACCACAAGAAGGCTCATTGCGCTGATGATGATCTCGTAGAGTAGCTTCGGACAGATGACCGACCAGATGAAAAGGTGGTCGCGCAGCAGAAAGGTAACCGTCATGTTCACCGTCATCACCAGCAGGCGAATGATCATGATGCAGTTGATAATACTGTAAAAGGTGCAGTAGTTGAGAACGATTGGATTCTTTCGCGCAATGAGATTGTTGATAAACTGCTGCGTCTCATCGACGGCCGTCGAGTCCAGCTCCTCCGTCGCCTGACCCTCCGAGTCAGTCACCTCTCCGCTGCTGCTGCCATTACCGACTGGCATCAGGTCCTGCTGCATTCGCACAAAGAACATGATGATCCAGTAGATGTAGGTGGAGTAGACGGAGACCAGCATGAAAATGGTGCAGCACACGGGAATGTAGGAGTTGACGCCAATGAAGCAGGGGTTGACGTTCACCGTGGACAAGCTGTTGGTGTTGCCGATTTGGTAGAAGGCACTGCTCGCGAAGATCAGATACGTGCCCAGGCGGTAGAACATCTGCCCGTAGAGANCGTTCACCGTGGACAAGCTGTTGGTGTTGCCGATCTGGTAGAAGGCACTGCTCGCAAAGATCAGATACGCGCCCAGGCGGTAGAACATCTGCCCGTAGAGGTAGTTCATGTCGAGCTGCGGCAGTTCGCTGGTAGTGGAGAAGGTAAAGTAGACTAGCTTCTCCAGGAGAATGTTCAGCACGAGCAGTGGCACATAGGAAGGCTCCAGGAGGAGGGTGGACATGATCATCCAGTTGACGAGAAGGCTGTGCAGCAGGGAGCTGTGCTGCGTCCGCGACTTCTCAAGGTCGGTCCGGTCGGCGAGCATCAGGCCGTCGAGAAGGCTGTAGAAGAGGTCGATAATTCGGTTATCGCGCGTAATGGAGCTCTTCACTTTAAGCATCAAACAGTAGAAGAAGATTAGAATGACCACACCGTAGACTAGTTGGGCGTAGATGACTGGCGGCATCTTTATCAGATGGGGCATCTTGAACGACCGAATTGACCCTGTGCTGCATCTGAATAAATAAGGAAATGATCAGTTACGATGATTACTTTCCGTCAATCGACAAACCTGTAAAGGTAAATAAAAGTAATAGAGGCAATAAAGCTGGGCGGCGGGCGGCCAAAAGTGGACTTGGTGGAAGTAGAAAAGGCAATGATAACCAGTGAGACGATAAAAATAGCGCTTAGCGCATGCTTGGATTTCTTTAAAGTGATCCACGTGTAAATGTCCCACTGTTGGAGATCACTATCAGTGATGACCGGAATCCTCCAGGAGGTCATCACCTTGAAGAGGACAATGGCAAAAAGCAACAGCAACCGACTAGTCCAGTAGTGCGTATCCATCACTTTGATTGACTTCCACTTGCTCTCCTTGAAGGCATTGTACCCTCTGAAAACAAACAAACATGAGAAAACCAATTACGATAAAAGGCCAAAAATTACCTGAAAACGAGAATAAGATGGAAAGCAAGTAGAAAAGTTGCGAGGTAGTGCCAAAAGTTGTGCTCATACTCCATAAAGTTGGTGCTGCCCATGAAGAATAAGTTCAAGGAGAGAAGAAGGAGCATAAGCGCTCGAGCGTGCGAGGAGGCGAAAAACTGAAGATGCGAAAAATAAGCTGCACAGTTCGTGTAGTCGATTGTATCACCGTGAGGCAGAGTGGGCAGCCACGCTCGAACCTCCAAGAGGCGTTCAAGGAAGAATGGGCGCCGGAAGAAGATGGATCCGGAGTTGTGCACGCACTCAATGCGCACCAGAGCAAAGACAATACCGTAGCAGATGAGCACTGGAAGGGTGAGCATGGAGAGGAAGGACCGATTAGTGGCCGACTCGACGTGCTGCTGCTGAAGGGTGACGATGAAGCGGTGGTACGCATCACGGGCATTCCCAAAGTCGGCCTCCCTCTGTCCCTTCTCGCGGGCCTCCTGCATGTTGGCAAAGTTGTAGTGGTGCGACAGTGCGTCCAGCAGGTGCAGCTTCAGGTCGGCGTCGTCCATCTTCTGTCGCTTCACAATGTGCTGAATTTGAAAGGCATTCTGAAAGAGGTAGCACAGATGCTCCCCGGGAGGGGTGTCGAATCGCTCCAGAGCGGGTGAAATGATGCGACCCTGGCTTTTGGCAGGAGTTGGGAAGTGGAAGAGTGCCGCAATCGTCGGAGCAATGTCAATCTGCAGGAATGTTCGCTCACTGAGCGGGAGCACTCTGCTGTAGCCACTAGGAAAGTTGTGATTCTTGCTGTTGCTGACGAAAATCAGCGCCGTGTGAGTCTCATCCCGGGTGCTTCCGCCATGATTGCCACTTTTGGTCATTNTGAAAGGCATTCTGAAAGAGGTAGCACAGATGCTCCCCGGGAGGGGTGTCGAATCGCTCCAGAGCGGGTGAAATGATGCGACCCTGGCTTTTGGCAGGAGTTGGGAAGTGGAAGAGTGCCGCAATCGTCGGAGCAATGTCAATCTGCAGGAATGTTCGCTCACTGAGCGGGAGCACTCTGCTGTAGCCACTGGGAAAGTTGTGATTCTTGCTGTTGCTGACAAAAATCAGCGCCGTGTGAGTCTCATCCCGGGTGCTTCCGCCATGATTGCCACTTTTGGTCATCCCGTGATCACCGGTTATGAGAAACAGGTAAGATTCCTGAAAAATTAAAACAAGTTAAAAATCTGCGCAAAAAATAAACAACATTCTTACATTTTGAGTCTGTTTTGAGAAGGTAACTGAATCGAAAATACTGCGAAAAACATCATCCATTTCGTGAAGCTTCACTGGAAAGAGATCAGAGTTGAAGCCTTGCAGGTGGCCAATGTGATCAACGCCCAAGTAGTGCAGCATCATCACATCCCACTCGGTGAGATTCTTTAATTCCTGATTGACATTGTAGGTGACGTTGGAGTCCACTTCTGTGTAGTCTGTTGCAAAGAGCGACGATGTGAAGTTTGAACGAGCGAAAATACCCTTGTGAAAAAGTTTTCCCCATGTGTCGTCGCCGTAAAAAACGATGCTCTTGTTCTTTAGCCAAAGCTGCTCAACAATGTTGTCCTTTTTAAAAGAGTATGCATTCAGGTTCATTATGTAGTCCATAAAAGAGGGTAAACAGCCGCTGAGAATCGCTTTCACTCGAGCTAAAGTCACGGTGGGAATTGAAGCAATGCTTTGAAAGCCCATTCCTGTAAGCAACAAATTGTTTAGTGTCAAACATCTTAAATATCTTTTGTATTTGCTTACCATGAGTTTTGAGTAGCTGCTCCAAGTATGGTAACCGAGGCGTTGAGTAATCAGGCTCCATGATTGAGGGAACAAAGTCAACTCGAAGTGCATCAATGATGATGAGCACTAATTTAGTGAACTTTGGCTTAGAATCGGTGATTGTCTTGTTGCAGTGCTTGTCCAGGTACAGGTACTGGCCGTACTTTTGACTGTACATCACCTGGTTGTTGATGTGATCACCAGTGGATAGGACATGCTTGATCCAGGACTCATCTGCCACCAGTTCATCTTCTATTGACTTTTCATTGGTATGCAGCTCCTCTGAGAAGAGAAAGAGGTAGGCGAAGCAGAGTGCCAGCGTGAAGCCGATGGCGGCTAGCAAGAGGATCCACAACGAGTTGAAGAGTCGCTTCATTATGCTGACCTAAGATGGGCGGTTCCGAATACCGGTCATTCAGCTAACTTGCCTCGTAGCAGCTCGTCAGCGGTGGCAGAAGATCACTACAACATCAGCAATGAGAAATCGGCGTTAGTATTGACCAGAAAAAACGAATCAATAGACGCTTAGCTGTCAGTACTTTGACTCATCACACCTTCCGGGAACCGCTGAGATGGAGATAAGATTACTCTGGTTGAGGTAACTCCATGGGAACTCCAGACAGATGAAGTGATGAAACTCTGGTTCATCTGCAGCAGCAGCACATGCCAAAGCGGTGAAACAGCTGTTCTGGTACGTCCTCTGCGGGAGCATGAGCTCGAGCGGCTGTCTGTCTGTCCGCCACACCAAAACACAGACACACACACAGACACACTCTTCAGGCAAACGGACCTTCAAGGCAAAGTGTCCTGGCCTTCACCTGCTCCTCCTGCCACTACTGCCAATCAACACTGCTGCTCCAGTTACCACCTTTACATCGGAATTGCCGCCATCAGCAGCTCTACACCGGGGCGTAGTTGTACGTTTTACAAGTCTTCGCGAGAGCTGTCAACGGCTGTGAAACAGTTTTTTTCATTTGAAGCTTACCAGCTGACTGTGTGTGTGTTCAACGCAGTGTGCCTGTCTGTCGCCGTTTGACCGTTTGCTGGCCATTGAATAACAACAACAGCAGCTGCAGCAGAATGCCACAAGGACGTCGTAAGGTGCCTTTCTCGGCGAAGCAAAAGAAGGCCCAGCTGCAGACGAAGCGGGAGCAGAAAAAGGTCGGCCGACCAGCAGCGGTGCACCCAACGCTCCATCGAAAGGCGCTGGTCAGTGACGACGGTGACATTGAGGACGAGCTGGACGATGACACCACCCTTGACAACACCCTCGGCCAGCTGGAGTTTGGTCAGCCTTCCGGCGTCGTCGATCAGAACGCTGAATCGGGCACCTTTCTAAGCAAAATACACAGCGTCAACGTACAGAAGAACCTCGCCCAGACTAGAGGCGTCAATCGATACGCACTGCAGTTTTTCACCGAATCAGACCAGGAGATTCGTGAGCGAAAAGAGCGAGCGCAGAAACCGTTCAAGTTGCTCGATGAGAAGGACGGACTGGTCTGCTCGGTGGAGGATCTGTTTGGCGAGTCGAGCGATTCTCATGGCATTCCAGTTACCGACGTTGACATGCCCAAACGACCACCGTGGAACTCAAAAATGTCCGTCCCCGAGTTGAACGCCCAGGAGCAGAAGTACTTTACCAATTATCTCAATGAGCTGTTCAGCAAGGCTGGCGATAAGCCACTCAGCTACTTTGACCTGAACCTTGAAACATGGCGTCAGCTGTGGCGTGTGATTGAAATGAGTGACATCGTTCTGCTGGTTTCTGACATTCGACACCCTATTTTTCACTTTCCGCCTTCCCTCTACCACCACGTTGTCGATGATCTCGGAAAAGACATGATACTCGTGCTAAACAAAATCGACCTCGTCGACGCGGGACTGGTGATCGCCTGGCGCCAGTACCTCAAGTCTCGATTTCCAAAGCTAAACATTCTTGAATTTGCCTCCTACGCAGGAATGCGCGTCAAGTCCTCCTCGGGAAAGCGAGTTGGTAAGCTGCGGATGGCTGTGAAGGGCGCCAGCTCGTTGCAGGCCATGGTCGCCCGCATCGTCGGCGATCGAGCCGATCTGAGCACCTGGAAGGCGAAGATTGACAGCGAACTGCAGGAGTTTGAAAACAACTCACCCGATGACGACTCCTCCTACTTTGAGTCAGAGGACGAAGATGAAGGTGCCCGGAAGCAGCGCTTCGGCAAATCGAACAACAAGGGCACTGCCGCCGCTCAGCTGGAGCGCAAAGCGGACCAGGTGATTGTGGAGAAGTGCGACACCGGCTACTACCAGCAGACGGAGCGGTACAAGGACGGCCTGGTCACCATTGGCTGCGTCGGCCACCCCAACGTGGGCAAGTCGTCGCTGCTGAACGCCCTCTACGGAAAGAAGGTGGTGAGCGTGTCGCGAACGCCCGGCCACACCAAACACTTCCAGACGATCTTTCTCACAGAGAATGTCCGCCTGTGCGACTGTCCCGGACTGGTCTTTCCCTCGCACGCCCCCAAGGCGCTGCAGGTGCTCCTCGGCTGCTATCCCATCTCACAGCTCCGTGAGCCGTACACTGCCATCGGCTACATGGCGGAGCGGCTCAATCTAGTCCGACTGCTGCGACTGCAACACCCGGAGGGCGACACGGAGACCACCTGGTCGGCGTACGACGTCTGCGAGGCCTGGGCGGAGAAGCGCGGCTTCCTCACCGCTCGCACCGCCCGACCGGACATCTACCGGGCGGCGAACCACCTCCTGCGAATGGCCCTCGACGGGCGGACCATCTGTCTGCGCTTCCACCCGCCCAACTACCACCAACACGAGCCGACGCACTGGGCGACGCACCCGGAGCGGGCAGAGGTGGAGGCCATTCAGAATCGACAGGTGGTGGAGGAGACGCTGAACGCCAATCTGATGCGCCAGAGTCACAACCCGGGCTACGTGGACAGCCACGCCTCCAGTGTGGAGGCGGACGTGGATGAGGACGACGAGGACTCGGAGGACTTTGCCACCAACTCCAAGTTTGCTCTGCTCGAGGTGGAGGACGACGAGTAAGGTCGACCAGAAGAAGAAGACCAGCACGAGTACACCGAACAAAGAGACACCCAATATCTTGAGGCAGTCACTTCACACATCCATTCACAGCAATGCACCACTTTTTGATCACCACTAATCTCTTTCTCTTTCTCTTTCTATCGCACCTCTCGTTCCTTCAGCACGGAGACAGCATTTTAACCACAAGCAAAGTATATTCTGATTCCTATCTCTTGCACCCACCATGTGTGAGCAGTTGTCAGCCAGCCAGCCTCTACTCTCGAATGTTCTGTGCAATATACACACACCAGAGTAGGCGCACCACACTTCGAGCACACACACACATTTAATGATCCTACATGAGATGAAGCAAGATTCACTTTCAAGCTCTATTTTATACTACTGTCAAGATTTATTTTTTCTTTTTCGCCACGCGTGAATCACACGCTTGCAAAGTTTTATTCGGCATTTTTTCTGCCCCCTATTTAGGCGCGGCATCCTCTTCACTGTAACTTGTTGTTCAAAACAATTAAAAATCAAGAATAGAGGGTTCCCAGTTGCTGTTCAGTAGTGTGTTTTCTCTCCTTGCTGACACTCAGCCGCAGAAAGTGTGTATATCACAGTTGTGTTTTGTCTTAAATTAATTTTGAAGGTTAAACGGAAACGGATTGCAGGGAGAATGTGCAAAATGTGCGCGCTGGAGAGACAGAAACATTGTGGTAGGTAAACATTCAGTGGAGACATGAAAAGTGGGCTAATTGATGTTCAGGAGGAAACGGACCGAAACGTACTCTAACGGACTGAACTGTCTGTTCTCTGTTCTCTCTCCAACTTCTCAAACAGATCGCACTGACAGCAGTTGTTTGTGGGCTACCTTGATAGCAACATATCACTGTGATGGTATATGATTTTTTATTAGCTAATCTTTATCTGGAGAGTTGATCGATTAGATGTTGCCCCGGCAAAGGATTAGATGAGGAAGGGCTACCATGGGGAAGCCATTGAGGTTAATTAGTGGTAAACATGATGCTTTTATGAAAGAGCTGCTAAATTGTGCCACCAGAAAAAAGCTCTTTTCCTTTCTAGTGCAGATCAGGTTGTCTTCTAGTCAACAATGGAAATTTGTGCTCTACTGAAGCTGTTGTTTGCAATTTTTCTTGTAGCTCACCTTCATCTTTCAGCAAACTGTTTAGTAAACAATCGACCCGTTTTGGGTGTGCTGTTGCTGGAGAATGCCGACAAGTCGGGACAATTTATTGGAGCGTCCTATGTGAAGTTTCTTGAGTCAGCTGGTGCCCGAGTGGTCAGTTGTGAACGGAAGTTTGGCTTATGTTTAAATTGTTTTACTAATCATCGCTTCCCACTTTTAGGTACCCATATTTCTGAAGCAGAAGCAATCGTACTACCAAGAGATGGTCTCCTCGCTGAATGGCATTCTCATGCCCGGCGGCAGCAACAGCGTCACTCACTCTGACTTTGCCCAGGCTGCCGACTACCTGATTGAGGCAGCTGTACAAGCAAACACCAATGGCACCCACTTTCCACTCTGGGGCACCTGTTTGAGCTTTCAGAAGCTAATCAGCCACTTTACCGGCAACAACGTCGCCTGGATGAGTTTCTGTGATATTGAAAATGTTGCTCTCAATTTGGATATTGACTCCAAACAGTTGAGCCAATACAAACTTTTTAGCTGGGCAGCTGAAAGTGGGAGGATCGTGGAAATACTAAACAGAAGTCCCGTTACTGCTAACTACCACAAATGGTGCCTCAACGTGACCGAGTTTGAGAATAACAAAAACATTTCCGATAACTTTCGAAAAGTGAGTACCAACACTTTTGGCGGTCATCACTTTGTTTCGACGGTAGAGCATAAGAATTATCCTTTTTTTGGTTCTGCATGGCACCCAGAGAAGAATCAGTTTGAGTTTGTCGTCAATGCACACAAAGGCAATCTGAGTCACAGTTTGGAAGCAGTGCAAGTCGGTCAATTCTTTGCCAACTTCATCGTCAATGAAGCAAGGAAAAACTCAAATCACTTTAAAAATAAGCTAGAGGAGGGGAAGCATCTGATCTACAACTACAATGGTCAGTATAGGGTGTACACTGGACTGGATGCGAATGCTGTCTTTGAAGAGGAGTATCGTTTTCCATTGCATTTTTCGGGCAAAAGCGGGGCTGCTCAAGTTTGCATGTGCAAGTGGTTGTTAGTAGTGTTGCTTGCTGTGATTTTAGGCTTCACACAGTTGAATATTTAATTGATTCACACGACCTTCTTGGATCTTGATGCAATTGCTCACTTTTTCAATTAAATTTCTATTATAAATTACTTTATTGCATTGCACAAAAATAAAAAAACTAAGCACTGAAGCAAAACGCCTGTTTGATAACCTAAAGAGAACTGAAAATTGCACTACCAGAAGTGTCAGAGGTGTGAGATTATGATAAGATTAAGCGACAACACTTAAGGATGTGCTCTTTCTCTTTTCATTTCTTGTACACAAAACTTCCACATGTGCCTCTTCCGTGTCATTAGGTCACTGTCAGGGGTTTGAAGGTTAAATGCTTACTCGACTTTCCACTAAACGGAAGAACGCAAATGCCACTTTTTCAGTAGTGAAACTTTTGGGGTGCTACAAGACAAAAAAGGTTAAACGGCTAAACGCAGCTACATCAGCAACAACATCACCAGCACGATATACCGCCGGTGGCAGTACTAAAGCTCAACCCTGCTCGCCACCTCCAACACTACCAGCAAGCGATTATCACCGACACCGACAAAAAGGACAGCGATACAGATCAGCGCTGGAAAAAGCAGTAAATTAGATTATCCAGGTGGATTACCTTCCCTCCTTTGTTCGTTAGCAGTGTTTCGTTGTTAGCACCATTGTACAGTGGACATTGTGCTGTACAGCGACTCTTCCTTCCCCCACCCCTTCCCGAAAGCCGCCTTGCTGCGTCTCGTCGATGTGCCATTGTTTTCAGGCTCACTCTCAGGCAACAAACACGTCTGAAGGACAGTAGTGAACACTGTGGCACTGCAAAGAAATCAATTAGAATATGCACAACAGTGTACAAGGTGAGATAGCAACTCTGCACTCCCGTTCTCACTCTTTTTAAGCGGGAGGAAGCGAAAGAGGCAGTGTCTGCAAAGATTAGGAAACTGCTGTCCAATTGCTGATCACGTGTGTATTATAGCCGTCAACGGAGTGCAGTGCATATGAGTGCCCATTAGCCGGAGCACTTTGTGGACAGGTGTAAAAGAAAGAGATAGAAATAGAGAGAGGAAGTGCGACATTACGCCGGAGATGGAAGACATTTGGCCTGCTGTAAAATTCAATGGTGACTAGAGTCGCTCGAGTCGACGGACCGTACAGTGCGGCGGTGGTGGTGGTGGTGGCGGCTCAGTCGATGCCGACAAGTCATGCATGCACAGCTGTAGAAAGATAAAAATATGAATTACTAAACTACCTGTGCCCCACTTAATTACTCCCCCTTACTCCCTTGCCACACCGGGCAGGTGATAGCAACCACAAGTGCAGCAGCAAGTGGACAACAAAAACAACAACAACAAGAGTGTAGTATTATCACTACTAAAAATAGTGTGCACACCACCACCACTACTGACCACTAAAGTGTTCACCAGCGCAGTTTCCGGTGTGTGCAGTGCTTTCAGTCTGTGTTTCCGCTGCTGCTGCTGCTGCACCTGTGGTCGCTTCACACGGCGTGTCGAGGTATATAAAGTCAGTTGAGGGCTTTGCGAAAGACATCAGTGTTCTTGTATCTGCTGTTTCAGTTGTTGTTCCAGTGTTCTCAGGTGTTGCCATTATCTGCTTATTTTGTTGTGCTTAGCCCCACTTCAACTCACCCACAAAAAGTGCCTTACAATGAAGTTCTTTTCACTGGTAATAGTGACTGCCTTCGACGGCGACCTTCTTCACCTTTTCCCTCATCCTGACCGTATTTCATCTCAATTTCAATATCATTAATTAATCTGCAATTATCCCTCTTCTTCTTCCTCCTCCTTNCCTTACAATGAAGTTCTTTTCACTGGTAATAGTGACTGCCTTCGACGGCGTCCTTCTTCACCTTTTCCCGCATCCTGACCGTATTTCATCTCAATTTCAATATCATTAATTAATCTGCAATTATTCCTCTTCTTCTTCCTCCTTCTCCTCCTCTTCCTTTTCTGTTCGTCTGACAGCTCATCATTGGCCTGTGCGCCTACGCTGCCTATGCGCAGGATCTCGATGAAGCCGCCTCCGAGATGGATCTCGACATGGCTGCCTCAGGTGGAGCCGGTGCTGCTGCTGGTGCCGCTGGAGCGGGTACGACCCTATTCTTTTTGTTCGAAAAGTCAACTCGTCTAATTGATAATTTTTTCTTTACTCTTTAGCCGGAGCCAAGTTTGCCAAGGGCGGTGCTGCAGGTGCCGCTGCCAAGGGAGGCGCCTTTGGCGCTGGTAAGTGTTGAATTTTGC